TTTACGGTTTGCTGAACACTGTTGCTCCAGCTGCAAAGGGACAAACTTGTGTGCACAGAAGTCCCTCTACCCTTACCACCACAGGGAGGCTTATAAAAAGACTAGCCATGAAAACAGTGAGCAGTTATGCAGGACTTCATGAACCTAAAGCACTGCATGAGTTTTCTCCAACTTCTTTTTATCAAAGTGACAGCCTGTGATAAAGGCCAAAGGACAACTACAGCCTCCATAGCCCTGCAGCTGTAATTCACCAGATGATCAAGAAAACTCTAATTGAAGGATTTCTCCTCTGACAGGACACAACACAGAATCTCACAGGGAAAGATGCATGTGCTGTCCCAGCACAAACTACCATGTGGCTCTTCAGCCTCACAGTCATCTCAAACCTATGGGAGGAATAAAAGAAAAACAGACAGAGAGAAATTAAAAAATTAAAAGAATGAGAGATTGCACAGAAAAGTAAAGCCATACTTCAGTCTGTTGAGTCACACCTGGAGAATGAAGAAGCCTTCAAACTGTTTCAGCAGAAGGCAGTTAGTGTAAGGGTTGCAATGTTGTCAGCTCTTTTGCTAATACCTGTACCACCAGAAGAGAAACGCTAATGCCTCGGCAACCAACAGCTTAGTGATGAGCAGCTATCCAGGACAATTTCAGGTGAGGCAGGTGGAACAGAAACATTCAAAAATAGTTCATGTAAAAAGTGAGTGAGAACAAAGAAAAAGAAGAGGCAGCTTTAATGCCTCATTAGATGATTTTACTGTCCACCTTCTGCCACAAGCAATTTTGTATAATGTCTCTTTCTTACAGAGCTTCTCATACTCTTAGTACAGTGCTGCATGTTGCCATTTCACACCAGAGAAAGTTGTCTGGAGCCTGAAGTCTCTCTGGGGTTTTACTCTATTTGGAGATGTGGTAACAAATCCATGCTGCACAGACATGTTGTGTAGTTCCAAAGTGAAGACTGAGAAGAGAAACAACCATTTTTTGTGTCACTCACCTGGATGTTGCCTTCTGAGACTTTCTCAGTCAAGCTTGACAGTCCTTCTACTCTACAGGAATCAGTGCTATATAACATGACTCATCAATCATGCATCTTTTCTTGCTGGCATTACTGCTACTGAGGGCAGCCAGCACCATGCTTAGTGACCTGGGACTATCTTAGACTTAAGAAGTCTGAATTTCCTAATTAAGTAATTCTAAGTCTTAAAAAAATAAAGACTTAAATACCTCCAATAGTCAGCTATCTAGGGATTTCATGGCAGGTCATGATACCTTCATTCTCTACACATAATTAGTATTTTTGAAGCATGACAGAGTTCCTGAAAAAAATCAGAATCCTGTCTCAGTACCACTGCATTTACAACAAACGGGCATTTCAAACATGATGGTTTATTTGCTGCAGTAGCTACCCTCCTAACCCATACTCAGACTACATTATCAGTGACAGGAATCAGAGAATCTTCTAACACCAACTTCTGTAATCACATGTGAGACATGATGTGAGAGGTCAGATGGTGGAAGAAACAACTGCCATTATACCTGACATACTCATTCAGGGGGCAGCTCAGCAAGGATGGCAGAATGATTTTAATTTGGCTCATGGACCGCACAGCTTGTGCTGCTCTCCATCTCCTCTCAGCACCTCTGAAAATACAGTTCTGCTTCTTTTTACTGAGATGCTAAACATTCTTTTGTGGAAGATGAATTTGATAACCCTTTCCAAAATATGGTATATGCTAAAAAGAAAAGAAAGTAACAGCTGATAGATCAGAGTTTCAGCTGGACAGATACTGCAGGTCTTACCTGAAGGTGGGATTGCCACAATTCCTTCCTGTAACTCCACTGCTTCTCCCACACGAGTTTCATTCACAGTTTGGGTGCAGAAGGAGTATTTGACTCTCCTGCAAGCCACCTGCAGTGTAAGTGGTACTAGAGATAGGGATCTTGGTGCATTTTGTCCATTTCTTGGTGTCCTCAGCTCACATCTCTAGCATATATCCTGAGAGCACATCTCCTTAGTCTGGCTCCCACCAGGCTAAGGAAATGCTAGAGCTGGAAAAATCCACCACCTCCAGCAGTCCTGGAGGCTCTGTGACAGGAGAGCTGTGACACACTATTGTACTTGCTGGTCTATGCTTGCATATGTGAATACAGAGCTGTTCCTATTTCAGGATGCTGAACCTGCAAGATTTTAGGGTAAAAGGAACCTTTATAAACACAGAGCAAGAAAACAGTGCAGTTCCTAACACGGCACATACATGTAGACCTTGTTCAAAGGTTGGCCATTTAAGAAAAATCCTCACAACATCTGACACGGCACCGTCCAAATTCAGCTTGGAAAGGCACCTTCTATGAGCACTGACCACCAGTCATTCTCCACATGTGTCTGGGAGGTGTCTAGCATTAAAAGTTTGCTTCTATCTCTTCCAAGCTGACTGGTGAGCTCTGCAGTATGTTTCCTATAACCTGTTTGTATGGCTTTGAGGGCCTTGTGCCTCTTCTTGTTTAATAAATCCCTCTTAGTCCTGTGTAAAGTGGTCAGGTGCTATCTGGACTGCTTGGATTAGTGAAGAAGAGCAAAACATGAAATATTAAAAAATATCTGTGTTTTTAATCAAATGAATAGGGAATTTTGTACCCAAATCCACGGTCTGCTCTGAAAGTCTCAGCTAAAATGCAACGACCTTCTCTCCGCCCCAAACCAAAAAAGTCAACCAGCGCAGCATTCCGTGACAAACTCGATGCTAACGGCTTTTATATAGAACACTCATATAAGCACACAGGGTCATAAGGAATATGGTGCATATGGACAGTACATATTCTCCCGGGCCTAATGTGAAATAATGCAAGTCTTCAAATAGAAGAATCATAGCTTCAGGCTTAAAATTGGCTTTGTGTTGTCTTTTGATGTAAAGGGACGTGAATGCTTTCCCATCTGAGTAACTATTTAACCTCAAGGCTCTTGTCTACTACATAGAATTCTCTCATTTTTTTAGCTATACCAGCTTCCACACTTGGCCAGTTTTTTTCTCAATTATGTGCAGCTACTAAGGCCCACTCCTGTATCTATTACAAGATTCTATCAATAGTTTAAGCTATTCATTGACGGCCTATGACAGCCTTCTGTTTTTAAAGTGCTTTAGTTACGTGGTCATATGAAGTAAGAATTCTCTATAACTGGCACAAAATAACATCTGCCCAGTTCAGCATTTCTGAGGATACTGTAATCCTTTGGCATTTATCTAATTTTGATCAGTCCAGAATTAGGCACAGATTCTTTACTACTAAAAATCCAGTATTAAAATAAAAGAATGTAAGCAACTTTCATGAATTCTGCAAGAGTTCTCTCTTATTTTAAAAGGGTTGATGGGAGAAGCGTGTTAATGTGTATGAGAAATTATTTTCTTTGTCATACATTAGGGCCTTTGGCAACCTATATGTGAACACTAAGTACTAAAGGTATCTACACCTCAGCGTACCTTTATCATGTTAATCTCTGCTGTTTGCATATACTCAATGCCCCCCACGTGGGAATCTCCTACTGTGTCCTTAGCTTAATAGTTACATATTTTAAGTGAGTAATATAGCACTTTCAGGAACTTATAATTACATTTATAGGCAACATTATTAAGGCCTTCCTTCATCTTTAGTTAAGCTGTAAACACAGTGCAGATTGTTACATTGAGCCAGGCTGGAACTGCCCCATTCCCTCACACTTCAGTCATAAATGGACAGATCTGGTCATCGCAAACATGTTTGAGAAAACTGGACATTAAACAGTGAAAGAAACATACTGATGGGATCCTTTGCAATGAGAGGTTGGTGAGAAGTCCAGGGCTTGCATGGTTCATCTATCACATGAAACTCATTCTGTATCCTCCAGAAAATCATCCACTTTGAAACTGGTACCTAGAAACACACATGTTGCAATTACACAACTCTCCCATTACCCATACAAGTGTTCCCAAGTGGTCAGAACTTTTGGGGTTTTTTAAACTGCTTTTCAACTGTGATAATCCAAGAAGAAATTTCAGCTCTCAGACTGCTGGAGAACAATATAAATTCCAGGGGTTCAGTAAGCCCCTTAAGTAGATCTAACCTTTACTTCTCCAGTGGTCTGCTCCATTTTCTTATCTCTCTCCCTAAGGAAGAGATGGAATTTTGATGCATACAGTAAGTGGAAAAACGCATAATTTGCTTTTCACTAGATTATGATCTATACCCCGGTATAATCATACACGCTGGGGGAAAATAGCTTCATGTCTTGCTCCACTGACTTCAGTGGGATTTCCCACGATGTAACGAATTCACTAGAGTGGCCAAGCCTGCAAGCAAGGTTAAACCTCCATTCAATTTTGAAAAAAACAGGAATTGAATAATTTGCCTTAAAAAGTGTTTCCATTATTTACCATGACTAATGTTGGTGCCTTAAGGAGGGTATTTTTGGACAGTGTGATTGACTGTAACTTAATTAATATATAAGTCCAACATTTTGAATGAGACAGAGGAAAGAATCCAAGAAAGAACCAAAATATTAACAGAAAAGGAAAACCAAAAGTCTCGTTAGTCAGCTGCTGCTGCTGATAGGAACTCTCCCATGTGTTATACAAGCTGTGCTAAGCACGGATCATATGGTTGCAATCTGATGGATACAACAAAATCAGTCACTTGTTTAATTCAGTTCCGGTCTAAGCCAGGGAAAAGCAGTCAAATTTAGGTAGGGAGAAATGTAAAATACAGACGCTTGAAATTAGGCACCCAAAATCCATAGGTGTGACTTTCAGAGGTGTTGAGCATTTTGCCCTCTCATTGTTGCTTGTGGGTATCAAGCCATTTCTATGTGAGGGATGAAAATCTCACTTTGAACAGCGTATGTCCAAATGTGTATCTTGCTAGATGTCACGGTGAAACTTTCTTTGATTAATCAACACTCCGCTTTGCATTCAAAGCTTATCTAACTTTCCTTCTGCCTAGATAAAACAGGTAATCTTGGTCTGACCTCAGACTGGCTCCTTGGTGACCGGGACACAAAGATTGCTGCCCTTCTTCCTTTTTTCTATGATGTAACTTTGCACTGGGGAGCCTTCATCCTGGGCTGGGGAGTTCCAGGTGATGGTGACAGCTTCTTTCCTGACATTTACAACTTGAGACTGACACACCTGTCTCAAGAGGCTCTACACAGAAAAGAAAAATCAAATTAGCACAGTACGATCAGAATTCATTGACTCCAAATTGTGTATATATGTTGTGTGTGTATGTATATAAATATATATATGTATAGCAAGAAGTCAAGGAGGGTAACTTGTCTTGTATGTTTAGGTTTATTCATGGCCACAACCTTTTTCTAAAGACTCTTTCTTTAACATCTACTTCCCTTTTTAATTTCAAATGTTGAAACAATTCAATTATTGCGCTTATTCCGAAAATAAGCTCTTTCCACATTGCATTATAAAGCGGCTCAGAAATGCCTTCCCTAATTCTTAGATGAAAAGTGATATAGATTAATTCAAGTTGCTAATTTTATTTCTGAAGTGCTTCAATAGGCCAGACCTGCTGTTTACACTGTATCTTCTGTGATATGCTCTGGTCTGGGGAAAGGGGACTACAAATCCCCTTTCACTGGGGATCCCAGGCCATAAAGGAAAAATAAGAACAAGAGGTACCCAAACTCTAACTCCCAGAAGATAGTTCAGCAGTGTTTTCTAACCAAGTTAGGTTTTGGCTGACATATTTTCTTTTTTGGCCGCAAAACAAAATGTTTTTAAGCATTCCCTTTTAAATTATCTTCTCTCCTCCCCCACAATATTTCCCAGAGAAAGACACTTTTCATCTCTGCTGTATCCCACTAAGCTTATGTAACTGACACCAGAACAGTGTGTTAGTCAGTCCTCTCTTGTGGCCAGTCCATGTCGAGGGGTTTCTGAGTCCACAAACACTTCAAGTGAAAGGACCTGGTTATTTGTTTGATCCTGGTTATCAGCCTAAGCACAAAGCAGCTTCTAAGCTCTGTTCTGGGAACTTGTCTCCTGAAGCACAGGGTACAGCATTCTTCTGGGGACTGGCAAGGAGGAAGAGGACAAAAACAATGCGAAGCGGGACTGTGAAACCACATTAAAAATAGTTGGCTAACACATTCTCCAGCAAAAATTTCTTCTGTTTCCAGGGGCTCAATGAGGCCCGCAGAGCTGACGGCACATATTCTGAATTAGTAGGCTTTCCCTTCCTCCACCTTCTCCATAGCAAATGTGGTGCAGTTGCTCTCCACCACCGCTATTTTGATCCGTAATTTTTTTCTGCAGCTACCCTCCTCTGGATGACAAGGCGAGTCACCTGCTTTCCTCCACTGCCTTTGGGTGCTCTCCATCTGATTTTACATTTCCCCCTTGTGTTGCAGGAACTCTGCTTCCCCCTGTGGGGGTTTTGGTTTGTCTGCAGTGTGAGCAGCTGACCAGAGGGACATGGAGGGCTATTATTTAGAGGGTCATATCCTCTCACGATGTAAATCAGTGTAGATTACAGCAAAACTAAACTGACTTGAATCACTTGATTTGATAACTCAGAGTCTGCCCCACTGCATGATTTTAAAGAGAAGGTCTGAATTACAGCGTCTGTAACCAAACACATCTACCAGCAATTGTCCTGTTATAAAATTATTAATTTAGGATCTACCAACAAAGTTGAGGTAAGGATTGTCAGAAGCTGAGCCACAGCGATTTTTCAGATTCAGCATAATGGCTCCACTGTCTTCTCTCACACAGGTTTCGATTGTAATGCAGCCACTGTCTTTCTCCATCACCACTTTCTCTTCTGCTGCCACCTCAATACCATCTTTGAACCATGTGACTTTCGGCACTGGCTTTGCCTTGAAAGGCACCTTGATGCTTGTGGTACGCTTAGTCTTCACAGTAATGCTGAGTGCAGCAAAAAGCTTGAGGACAGATTCTCTAATAACAGGAGAATCTGGAAAGAACAGAAAACATTTGAAAGCTGCAGCTACAAATGTAGCTTGACAACTTTCCTGTGTCTGCGAGTTCCCAGAAAAGGTGGTCCAAAGCTGGGCCCTTCATACACTCCTCTGTGTTTTTACTATAAGGATTCTGTTCTCTGGGGACGTTCAAAATCCCCAGTGTGTTTTGATTCAGTTATTTTAGTTCTGTTTCTTGTACAGGGAGCCGGCTGCCCTCTTTTAGTTGTTCAGCTCAGCAGAAAGAGGGACCTCTGGGAAACAGCAAGCCCCAAAGCTCCTCACTTCCCTAGGGCCTGCAGGTTTGATTCCAGGCAGTTTCTCAGTTTTGCAAGGCACAAGAAGCAGCCCTTTGTGCTGCTGTTCCTAAGGCCACATGGGGATATATATCTATGACAAAGGTGGTAGAATCAAAGTTAGGTACTGCTTGTAAAGAAAATGCTCCTCATTTCTTACAGAGCCATATGGGAAAAAGATAAGGATGTCCTGCACACAATAAAGAAAAATAACCAGACTCCTAAACACATTTGGTGTTTTTCCTTTTCTTTTTGTCACACAACATATACGTTTAGAAATTACAATCTTCTGCTGAAAGTCATAAAAAGGCATTCAAAATATTTTTTGAATGCAAGACAATCAACCCTTCCTATACCAAAGCTTTGCTGTGGATAGGTTTTACTGCAACAGAAGTATGATGAGTGTTCAGTGCTGCAGATAGAGCATCCTCACTGCTATGCTTGTCCCGCTGCCTGGGCAGCTGTATCCACCCCCTTGCCAAGGTTCAGCGGACGAGAAGAGGCTGCAGACGGTCTGAAAGTCCATCTGGCGCCACCTGCCTGCCCAGAGCCGAGCAATGCATCCAGGTCTGGATGCCGAGAGAGAATTTCTGAGAAGGTGTTCTTGTTGCTCCTGACAACTATGTCTGAAGTAAAGGCTCAGGCCAAAATTCTTGATCACTGATATGTAAACACATAGACCTACGCTTACTCACTTAAAATCAACCAGTACGACTGTTCAATTTTCTCCCCTTGGGAAACAAAAAAGCAGAAAGGAGAGGTTTTGATCATGCACATAGATAAAAGGGTACAGGCCCAGGCAGGTGAAGCACTGATTCTGCAAGTGTTTGTGTATGCCTAGTAAAGAGCAGTAAGGAAACGAGGTGGCTACCTCCAATGGCAACTGGTGCTCCACCCTCTGCCCCCTTGGCTCTGAACCTCTACCTCCCTTCATGCTCCTCTCCCATTCTGCCAGTGCTGAGTTTGTGGATGGCTCCCTGCTTCACTATCCAGATCCTTTTCAGGTCTCTAATCTGACAAGATTGAGGTAGGAAACAACCCACATTGCAACAAACATCATCTCCACATCTGTCCCTGAATCCTCAGATCAGGGTTTCCTGCTCTAAGACGACTAGGCGGCCAGGATTTCTAGCTCCTGCTCTGGTAAAATGCTCTGTGATCTACGGACAAAATAAATTCAGTGCTACATGGACAGTGTGATCTGTGCATCTGCCTAGATAAGCCTAGACAGCATGTAACAAGGGCCGTGCACTAGCAGGCAAAGGATACGTTTACTGATTACTCTGAAAATCAGAGTCTGGGAGAGGGAGAAGGGTGGGTGATGAGAAGCAAACACTGTGGGAAAGAATGAGAGTCTACAGGCTGAGAAAACGGGTTCGCAAATGTGAGAGCATCTTTACAGGAGACTGGGAAAGAAAATTTTGAAAAAGCCAGGATCCAAAGCCAAAACTTAGTAAGACTGAAGCTGTAGTAGACTGGGAAAGATTAGATCTGTTCTTGTCTGATCCGTCCATCTGTTTGTCCTTAGTCAGAAGCACTTCAGTAACACCAGGCCAAGTCCAACAGTAGCTATTTGGAGAAAAGCTCCCACTAGGGTTTTGCAGCCTTTCATTACACTGACACCACCACGGGCATTTTACCTATTTGCCATCCTTGAGCCATATTTCTTCCACCTTCGGACCATTCAGGACAACACGGAGCTCAGCAGGATCCCCAGTTAGAGCATGAACATCACACACATACTCTCCATGCTTTCAAGTGTCTCTGGAAGAAATCCTGGTGGAATCACGTGAACAGAAAAACTGTGCAGAATGACTGCCAGCTGAGCACTTTGAACACCAAGGAAGTATTTTACTGCAGGAAGACCTCCTAACAAAATGGACAGACCCTCACGATGAAAGTTTAGCAAACAGGACATCCTGGGAAAAAAGAGGGATGAAGAAAGGCTGTTCCTAAGTCATTTTTCCCCTTCTTCATGCTTGTTCACTGGAGGGAATACAGCTATAGGAACCCAAAAGCTGAAGCACAAGACAGCTTCCTGGGACTGCTCCAGACCCTTAGTTGGTCCAGAGAAGCTGTCAAAGCAGCTGAATGACTCCTCTACTGCCTACATAATACTTGTGTCTGAACCTGAACTCCACATGGGGAAAGATGAACCTATAACTAAGGCACCAGACTGCACTTCCAGCATGCACAGGAGTCAAGAGGCAGCTCAGCCACGGCTTTCCAGGTTATCTGTGCCACAGAAGTGTCTTCTGTCTCAGAGGAGTGGTCAGAGAAGGCCCCTACCCCACACCGTCCCTTTAGGCCACCCTGGCCATGGCCCACAGAGGGCACTCACATACCAGGCCTGGTACCCATCCTGCAGGAGTCAGGGCTTCCTTGCCCACCACCAGCCACACTCAATCCTGGCCACAGAATCCTCTCCAGGCTGGACACCTGGAAAGCCCAGGGCTGGGGATGCTGTTGGGAAACCACTCCCTTCTGGCCTCTTTTGGGAAAAGAAAATGAGAAATACATGGTCAAAATGCAACTAATGGAGTGACCTCCACCCAAGTCTGTACACCAGGACAGTGTTTGCAGGGCATCATCTGACACGAAAACGCAGGACTATTAGGAAGAGACCAGCCTCACAGAGACAGGGGTGGACACTAAGGCAGATCAGTCTTCCATGTGAGAAAATCTACCTGACCTCACAGCTGAGCTTCTTTTAGCCCCTGAATTTTCCTTCATACCATCCTACCAACTGAATATTCAGTTGTTCCCGAACTCATGAAGGATACACTGGTATAATTTTATCCTCCTTCCATGCAGTTAATTTTAAATTGGTCTTAAAATACTGCACTTTTCATGGAAGGCATAGTTCAAAGCTGGTCCACATCTAACAGAAGTCATCTCACATACTAACAGCCACTAAAATCCACACCCTAACTTTGAAATTCTTCTCCACCCTATGCTGAGAGCATGAAGCTAAGATTTCCAACTTGTCTTCCTGCGCTTAGCAGTCTTGTGTCTTTCTGTAAAGATCATTGACTCAAGTTTACAGCATCAATAACGCTACTTCAAAATTAATTCACAAAACAAATGCGATATTAAATATTTACCAGCCTCATGTTGTGCTGCTGGTCCTCAGCAGACCGCAGTCAAACATCCCATGGGTTGCTTTAAAGAATCAGGAAGAATTCATTAGGACAACCTGATTAAAACAAAGAACATGGCACACTTCACTAGGCTGGTTTAGGTGACACGTGCGAGGACTTATATGAAAGATTTACTGCTTTATGCTTCTACTACTTTATACAGGAGAGGGAAGTTCTTAATTATTACCTTCATGCTACCAAGAGGGGGCGCAGACTAAGGCTCATTCCATCTTAACAAACAGACTTATTTCGTATCAGTTTCCTAGCTGTCACAGCAAAACAGCACTGCTCCTCTGCAGAGTTCACTGAAGAACAGTGTGAAAACTACTATTGCTCGTCCTCTTCCTCTCCTGAGCCGTTCACACTTACCTCCCACAGTTACACTGGCACTGCTGGACTGCTTACTAGGATCACTGTCTTGCACTGCCTATCACTGTGCAATCTCCTGAGTCACTCAGCTCAGCAGCATTAATGGTAAGCTCTGCTCTCTTCCCTTCATGCTTCATCATCTCAATCTCAATCATTTGTCCATTCTTCATCCCCTTCAGGATGACATCTTTATAAGTCAGCACACACTCCAGACAGGCTTTTCCCTTCTTTTTCACTTGGGTGTTCTTGAGATTGCTGACAAACTGAATTGGAACCCCTGGGAAAGGGGAAGGGGTTGACAAGGAAAAATTGTACATACCAGCAAGTACCTTATAAATCAGAACAAGTGGCTTTGCCTTTGCAGGATATAACACGGCTCCTGTACAGAAAAGATTCCAGGCTTGGGACTCTACTTTCAGTGTGAAAAGGAGGTCTTGATGCTCCTCTGCTTGCCCATCCACAGACTAGCTTTACAAGACTGTGGCTTCCAGTTTTCTCAGCCCAAGCCGTGGGGTTTTGTGTTTTAGCTTTATGGATTTTGCAGTTCAAACGGTGCTATCTTGTGTTTGATCCTCCCACTGCCCAAAGATGCTTACTTTGCATTATTTATGATCAATGAAAAGCAGTGTTCTGCACTAGATCTCCAGTCTCAACACTGAGTTCTTTAAAGTCACTGAACTGAACACCCTGTTTTCACAGTGTGGGCCAATCCATCATCAGATGTGATCATTTCATACTTACCATCCCACTTCAGCTCTTTACCATGGACCTTCTAGGTGAAGTTTTGCACTTTCTTTGGCAGGTGGATTTCAAACACTGCTCTGTCTTTCAGTGGTTTCAGTTCTGTCAGGAGTTAGAGGCCCACCTGTTAAAATACCAGAAAGACAAACATTAATTCTATTTAGTTCCTGATCTTCCTACACTAAGTATCAAGATATCAGTGAGGTCATTTTGATTTCTTTCTTGAGTGACAGCAGAAAGGTCTATTCATTCCTTCAACTTCAGTGGAAATTAAGCTAACTACCGTTTGTAATGTTCACTAAAACTTGCATGTAATCATACAAAGCTGATTACCAACAGACACGGTTTTTCTGTTTGGTCTTAGCTCTGCTTTCCCCCCCCCTCTCCTTTACTGTAGGTCACTGTAAAGTAAATGGTTTCAGGTAACTGCAGATGACATCTTCAAGTGTAGCTGGAATCATCTAGCAAGCTGAAGGACTGACATCTTCCTGTGTTATTTGTCAAGAGTGCTGCAGTGCCTGGCACAGGTTCACTATTTGGCATAAGTAAGGCCATCTACCACACTACCAAACAGCATGTGTCCAAGCCCTGAGCAGGGCTTTATCAAAAAGGCAAGTATTATACTTAAAAAACCAGTACTTATGGCTTATCTTTAAGACATGGTCCTACTGCAATAAAAGATAAGGCAGGTGGGAAGCATTGCTTTTAGTTAGCATTGATTTAAAGCAAGTTTGCTGGATATGATGTGGTTGTTTTTCTTTCAAACAGCAGGCACACATTTGGCTGGTTGTAGGAAGCATATGCAGATGAAAAAAGATCACTCTCATTATGCCCAAGCCCATCCACTCACTCCCAAGTCCTGTAACATGGTTTGAGCAAAGTTCACTTCCACTTAAGGACAGTGCCAAGGCGCATTTTATCGCTCCCATCTTTTCCACTAAAACTGGTCCAAATTCAGCAGTGACTCACACCTTGCCACACTGACGTCAGTGGAGAATTTGGCTTATGTGTAGTAACTAGGCTACAAACTGAACTCTGCTATCTCATGAATGGTGTTTTCACATGGGCGGTCTGGTTGTTGTGGGATGGTTTATGACTTGTACAATGTTAGATTTCTGTTTGAGCCTAAAAAGACCAATGAATTATGAATGTTGCAAAGACATATAAGAAAGCAGGTCACAGTTTGGCCCACCAACTTTGACCCTCAAATGTTTATCTGCAGACGTTGACATTGTACACAGAACCTCATGTATCTGAGAACAAAGATTACCTATCAGTCTCAGTGTAACAGAGGGTGTCTTGTCAGCCACAAGAGGACTACAGGTCTTTCCCATTCACACTGGTGATGCACAGCATGTATTTCACACCCATATGCTTCATATCATTTTTTCCTCAGGGAATACAGAGAACACAAAGGCTGCTCCCCATAATAAGCACAATGCTTGCACCTTTGGAAACTCTTTTTGTGCAGTGGACACAGAGGGCAAGACACACAGTGCTCAGTTTAAAGACAGCAGGGGCCAGATTCTTTCATCCTGCTTCACCCCACTCTACTTGCAGGCAAATCTGCCTTGCAAAGACTTTCCATTTTGTCTGACTTCAAAATTCTTCCAAGCTTATTTGTTAGCAACTGGTCTAGTCACTAGTCAAGCTAGATCTATAGAGCTTACCTTGAGTCATGACCAAGGATACTGTGGGTATTGGACACTACACACTTGTAGTTATCTGTATCATCTCAGGAGAAGCATTCAAATTGGGAAGAAAAAAAAAACATAGAGAAAGCAGTAATAAAAAGCTCCACATAGGCTGGGGCAGTAGGGAGTGGATATAGCAAACGTATTAGTGAATCCTTCTTTTTATTGGTTTAAATCAATATTTTTTTAATCACTAATAGAACTGATCTGTTGAAAATCCAGAATCTCTGAGGGCAGAGATTTTGAGGCCAAACCCCTCCTCCCTGAAGATCCCTCACAGCCTTCCCAAAGCCCCAGAAACAGAAGTCTTCCCACTGACAGTGATGTATTTTGGATCAGCTTCATTCTTGGCCTAAGGCAGCAAAATGAAGCCACATTTCTTCTCAGAGACATCCTTTTATTCTGGTGCTCTGCACTAGAAGTGAGTATCACCCCTGAACTGCATAAGCAATACAGACACCAGAGGAGGGTGAATGGAAGCTGTTGGACTTAAAGACTCTGGAGTACTGTCGGAAAAGAAAAAGAGTTTGACCTGCCCTCCTGGCAGACCTGTAAACAAAGGACTGCCTGAGAGAGGAGATAAGTTACAGTGGACTAAGAATTAAGGAAAGAGGCGAGACAGGGACAGAGCAAGGGTAGCAAGGAAAAGCACAGAAGAAGGGCAGAACTTTTGCAGCCATGGGATATTACATATCAAACAGGGCTGAACTAGGACATGTGTTGTGAATAATATTATGAATTAGTAAGATTTAGTGTTGGTTTTGCCTGAACGACACACAAGAGGCATTAGGGCCTCACTATGCTAAACACAAAACTAAGTTAAAAAGAAAAAAAAAAAGAAAGATTTCTGCTCTGATGCTCTTTTTCTGTTGATCAGAAACACTGCTCTATAAACCCAGAGCAGTATTTGAAAAGAGCACTATTGCAGTAGGCTGACTGCAAATGGGCCCAGTTTTACTGCTGCTGAGTACTACTACAGTGCTTAAGTTTTTCATTTATACAGCTTTTATTATGGGAATAAAAAAAATGAGCTAATGTCAAGACAAAAAGGTGTGTTATCTTAGCACATCTTAAAAATACTCTCAAAAATAGTCTGGATCATTCTTCTATTGGTACCCACTCTGTTTTTCTGTTTTCCATGTTACATTAGGCTTTGGTTTAGTTTTAACTTTAACTCAGGATATTGCTTTGTCTCCTAAAATTCAAGAAACATTGGAATTAATGCATGAATGAGTGAAATGGATCAGGGGCCTGTTACCTCCTTTCTCTGTTTAGGTTTATTTTAAATTAATGACTTCCTTTCCTGTCTGCTTTATGGAGGAGATTAGATTAACCTTGCTTTACTTTTCTTACTGTACCTCATACAACTTTACATCCATCATGGATACCACCCTGGGAACGACATTTGTTCATTAGCAGTGCTCTGCACAGTGACAGGAATGATTTGTGATTTTTTGTGATATATAATAAAGACTCATACGATCTTTCTGTCACTTTAGACAGTCAGATCTGTCATATGGGAGAGATTATACATGATGGAAAGGCTTATTTACTTATGCATTAAAGGTCACATTCTTCCAGCCCCAGCCAAATCATTCAATCACGAGTTTTGCATAAACAAGAACTGCTGTATTTAAATCAATAAGGACAAGTTTCCAGCAGCTAAAATGAACATCAGCTTTCACACTCATTTTGATTTATCCATGACAGGTCTCTAAAAGCAGTGAGGATGAATATAGGTAGCTGCAGTTTGCACCTGGTTTTGATTACCACTCTTCCAGTTGTAGAAGATGATAGTCCATATTTCCTTGCACGAGGTGGGGAATATTACCTAAAAGCATCTGAAAATGCAGTCAGTTGTTAGCATGAACTAGGTAAAGAACTGTCTTTCACGAGAAATTGTTACTCACCCTCGGGTGTTGTCAGTGGACATGGTTTTTCCACAAATTCAGGAATGCTTTCTCCAGCAAGGATCTCAAAGGAGCATGACACCATGCTAAAAGACTCCAATAAGGCAGAAAACTTCCTAGAAACAACTTCTTCAGCTGGGGAAAAAAATACATTAATCAAGTGAACAAAGAGGTACTGTTTGAAGGACTTACTGGGAGTGGGAAAGGGTGGATACAATCACAAGCCCTGAACCATAAAGTTACACAGAGAACTGTCCCAGCCAGCTAAAACTTTTGGGAAAGAAAGGTTTGTGCAGCAGGAAAAGTGCTAGCTGCCCACAGGAGACTGCTGATCAATTCCTTGTTCCTTTCCAGTCTTTCTGCAGGATTTTGGGCAAGTAATTTGCTCTCTCTTTAAATGTCTTGTATTACCCAATGGGAAAACTGGCCTGCCTTGCTGCACAGAGGGGCTGCAAGGTGCTTCGATGCTAGATGTCATTCAAGAAAGGTATCAAAACTGGACAGATCGAAAGGCCCATTAGGACTTACTCTGTTCTGCACAAGCTGTACTAAGTTCCTGAGTGCTGCTCATGCCCTATGCGTAGACAAATGCCTATAGTTTAAGACAAATCCTCCTCCTTTAAACTGTTCATTTCAGGAGATGCCAAAGAGCTGCCTTTTTCTATCAGAATGAAGGCATTTAGTTTTAGAACTAGTTCTTCAGTGCAGGAAAAACTGTATTTTTTTCCAGCCAGACTAACCAGTAAGGAGCTGGCCCTGAATAATAATTTCTAACTAGGCTCCATGCAAACACTGGAACTGGGATATTTCTCTGTGGTTAATAGGAAAAGGTCTCCATTTTACACCAGCAAAATCAACAGAAACTCTACTACCAGCCTGGATTATTCCATTTTATTAATTTAGACTATTTCATGGCACTTTTCCTTAATTGGGGACCTGTCCAACTCTCTTAAGTGTACTGCATACAGTAGTACACTTGGATGCTACAAGGGCCTGTGCACACTGTGCTGTCAATGGATGTGGCTGAGAACTGTGTCCTTGTCCTCACTGCAGTACTGAGACAGTAAGTAGGTTACTTTAAGCCAAGATAATCGAAGCAAGACAAAATGTTTCTAATCAAAAGCTTTTAATGAAAGCTGATACAGGGGCAATCCCTGTAGTCTTGCAGTAGCAGGTAGACCATGTGCTGGCCTTTGAGAAGAACAAAAATACTTCCCCCTCAGCAGAGGGCAAACTCCACCACACAGCTGCAGCCCACCTTTTGTCAGCTTGGTATGCATCACCTAGGGAGGCCATGTGAACATACTATAGGAAAAAAAAATCTGTCACCATACAGCCTGTTTCCAGTGGGGACTCTGCTGCCTATAGCTATGTCAAGACTAGTCCCTGTATGGAATGTGGTTTGGAGAAATGGGACTATTCCCTTCTAGTCCTTGAGGGATAAGCACTAGTCATCTAGAAGTTGACCTTCCTAGTTTTAAAAAGTGTTCCTTGGCAAGACAAATACAGTAAGGAACAGTAGTCTCTGACACAGTTGTGTGCTGCTGAAGGACCTTGTAGCAGAAGGAAATGAACCCAAAACAAAGCCTTTCCAAGATTTAGGGGCACAAATGATAAAGCTATAATTATGCACTGCAACCTAGAAGATACAGTCCACAGGGAAGACAATGTTAAGCCCATATGACCTTGAGACTTTGCTTTGTTGCCAGCAGAAATTATAGCTATGCCAAAAGTCCTCTTTTTTGGGCATCCTCTCAAGGAGATACTTTTCCTCATCAGAATATATATACCCCAGTCTCCTTGCTGAGCTGGCCTTTGTCTCCAGTCTGCCCGTACCAGAGACAAATGTTCTCTGACTCCCTATGCACAGAAGCCAAGGGAAGAGTCTCTATGTATCTCCATATACTCTCTAAATTTATGTAGGGATATCAAGCATCTCTAGACCCTGCTATGTCTTTCCTCCCCTTCTCAGAAATCTTCTCACAGAAACACAATTTTTAAAGTCTTTCCTGCAAACCAAGAAGCCAAGAGAAGAAAGATGACTCTTGCGTTCGCCTTGACTGCCCGAAGGTGTTGCCCCCCCCTTACCACCCTCTCTCACTTTTCTGTTCTCACTCTTTCACTCTTGCATACCAATGGTCATTGGTGTTGGTGACAGCAACGATTGGGGCTGGTTAGGAAGAGATGAGATGTTACTCTATAATCCCAAATGCCCTAGAAAAGACGTATTTCGCCCTCAGTCATTTTAGGGCAAATTCACACCAGTAGCACCAAGTGCTAAAATGAGAAGGCATATAGCATGCTGTTTTACTCACCTGCTCACTGCATAACTCTGCATAACTTTGAATTTATTTGGATTTTCAAATCCTACAAAACTCACAGTGACTTGGCTTAAAAGCCAACCCACCATTTTAAGTTCCTCCTTTAACCTTAAAAATGGAATTCCCTTTATTTATATTTCTTTTGCCTGATCAAAATTTTCATTCTTGGCCACAGAATTTCTGAACACGAAAATGTTACAGGTTAAGATCTAGTAGATTGTGCCAGCTAAGGAGCAGAAATGGCTGATAAGAAACACTTTTTTTTTTTTTTTTCCCTAAACTGCTGGGCTATTACCTTTTGCTATCCTTCAGTCAGGAGAACAAGCACTGTTAGAAAAATTGCCCTTAATAGCAAGTGATGAGCTTTTGGAAGCCTCGTCAGATTACAAGATTTCCTGTTTCTTGATGAGGCTGGAACCAACTTCCAGAGCCCAAAAGGTTGCACTTGAAGGATGTGTCACTGTCTGTTACTGCCCATCACCATGACTTGACTTGCTCATACCTTGACTGTGGGCAAGAAAGAAAACAAAATGTTAATGCAGACAACCCTCTGTGCTTAGGAACATAGATACACCATGAACCCACCCACGGGCACTCTGCAGAGAGATTAACTTCACTCATCATGTATAGCGTGGCTATTTTATTGTTCTGTTGTGCCTTATTAGTTTTGACTTAATTCCTTACAGTCTTCCTTGTGTCCACTTCAGAGAAAGAGCAAAAGGATCTATGCGGGACTTTTTCCCTCTGGTCCCTGCAGGGAAGTGTTGCTTTTGCCTTTTCAGAGAAAACCAGACACCTTGCAGCTCCTAGGACTAGGGGAGTTAAGGTCAGACATAATAAGAAAATTTTGACTCAGGCAAACACTCTTTTTTTTTTTTAGTAAGATGCACACTGCTGCAGACTTCTCCGTCCCCAAAATTCTGAGATGTATTGAGATCAGAAGGAATGCAGAAGAGGCTAAGCCGCCTCTCTGAAGAGTGTCTAGCCAGACAGGCTCTCTCCAAGTGAAGAGATGATCCCTGGAAAACACTGGCTATCAACATATTGGATTAACACTAGTGCAATACAGCAACTTATTTAACTCTATTTTAAGCCTAAGAAGCAACAGGCAGAGAAGAAATAAGCAACAGGGAACATGTAAGTTGAGTAGCATGGTCCAGTGGAGAGAAAGGGCCAGGAATTACAATACCTGAGTCCTTTGCTGGACTGTTTAAGCTTTAGCTTCTTAAATGCTCTGAGCTGTATTGCCAGCTCTGGTGCCAACACTGCTTTTAATTCTAAGTAAATAATTTAGCCTCTCTCAGCATTCAGCTTTACTATCAACTGAATAAACCTGACACTGCTGCCCTGCTAAGGATTACATGGTGCACAAGCTTGGTCTTGGCAGGTCTTCTGCACTGAAGTTAATCGTACCCTCTTCTGTGACTTCCACATCATGCCACGAGAATGTGGCATCTGTTGCATTCAGGTGCTGGAGCCTGACCTGTATCAGTACTCAGGACAGTGGACTCTTCTCTTTCCTTGTGTGTAACAGGAACTCACATCTTCGTGAATACGTGAAATTTGCTTTGAGACACTAGAAATCAATGCTTGTCTTTGTCTAGAACATACAGTTCTTCCACTGCCTGGCCCTTACGCACAGAGCTGCAAATGCTGCTTTCATTCACATATTTTTTCTGTGCTTTTGAATGGAGCAATTTTTTTTCTTGCAGGACTCCTGACCTGCCCTACATTATCCTACATTGATAGTCACACTTGCAGACATCAGCAAATACACATCTACAGACCTGGCAGAAGAAACAAGGTTATCCTCAATGTAGCTCAGAAGTGGTTTTTCTCCCTAGCAAACGTACAAAGCGCGTTTCATGTCAAAAACAGAGATGAAGTTATGATTAACAAATTGTAGATTTACCATTTCTCTTTGTTCAAAATGGTTTCCAGGGAAAGAATACACAAAAAATAACACTGCAGGTCCACTTCTAAAACCTGCCAACTCACCAATCGACAGATACACATATTCTAACACCACCTGTGTGCAAGCTGCACGGTTCCTTTGCTGCAGAGACAGCAGAGAAGTGACAGGAACCAAGGTCCTGTTTAGTGACCTCTTCAGTCTCAAACCCTCTTGCAACTGCAAATTCACAGGCTAAGGATAAGATTTTCCAAAGTAGACTAGCTGTAGAGGAAACGTCCAGAATTGTTAGCTACTTTTGAAAGTCTTGCAAGTAAATGCAACACTCTACTGTCCATGACTGCTAGGTAGTTGAAGTTTCAGAATAATTTGACCAAGTCATCTTCATCTTGATCCTTCAGTGTCAGACACGTGCTTTACCTGGGGACAGTTCTTACTCTCAAGTACAATCTTCGGTTTTGTTTTTATATAACTGTGTATCTGTCAGTCTCAGAGTACCTAAAAAAGGACAGAGTGTGTCATTAGTGACAGAAACATAAACAGGATAACATTGCTTAAGTGTGATGGCCAGCGACCAAATGACCAATGTGAACAGGTGAGGCACTAAGCTAGGCTCTGCCCTGTTCACAAAATGTGAAAAAGCTTATGAAACAGAAGACATCACAGTTGGTTCTAAACAAAATCATCTCACGTTTGTCATATGCTAACTCACCTGGACAGAGGAATTCAGTCCTCTGGGAAACAACTGTGTTGTAGGTATTAATGCTGTAGTCTCTGGTACAAAGAGGCCTGGGCAGTGAGCTGGAGAGAGTGGATGACACCTGCTAGGAATTTTCTTTTAATAGAGTGCCCAGTGAGAAGTCTAGTAAGACACATAGTTTAGCTTAGTTCCTATTGTCAGCTCAGTTTCCAATCTACTGATTACAGAAGCAGCCCCCACTCATCTCAAGTGCTTCTGCACAGCCAGAGCTCCTTTCTACTAATCCTAAGCACTTCTTAAGACTACCTCTGCCACCAGAAGAGATCAGAACAGCTGATACAAGGTCCTTCAGACCTCAAATTCTATTAAGAGAGAGAGAGAGAGAGAGAGAGAAAGACAGAGAAATATGTTAATTATGGTAAGGCCAAAGAGTAAATAGGCAGATTAGCTCCAAATCTGTCAGACAAAACAATGCTTCAAGAGGCATTCGAATATTTTGATCCTGACCAAGTGGCATACTCTTGCCTGTTGTGAGGTGGCAGCAGTGCAGCCCTCACCACCAGACTGTGCAACTAGGTTGACATTTGCTTTGTACTAGTGAACTGATGCAAAGCAGCCCGATTTTATCAATGACCACT